CCTAACAAATAGTATAATACAGTTCTGAGAAGCGTTAGATTTTCGGAATTTTTTCCACATGTCAAACTCTTATTTGGACACCAAGCATTGCATTTTGCAATGTATCAGTCTTAGTTTTTCTAAATTGTGCTGAGGTAGATGCACTTTTTAGGAGTTTTGGTACAATAAAATTTTCCTTACAACTACTGTGCTGTCTTTAAAAATCACACTAGCCATATTCTAACATTTTTGAAAGCTCTGTTCTCCCATTCTTTAGTATATTTATGATAGATGGAGGAGTTCACTTTTTAGAAATCAAGTCCTTTGGGGCTTTTACTGCCTTTTTCCCCTGCTCACTTTGTCACACCAAAGTAATAATAAAACTGTTTGTCAGAAAATGAAGCTTCCCATAGTACTTAGTTTCCTTTTGATGCTCCCTTCAAGGGATGCTGTAACCTAATAGTTAATCTAGACTGTGCAAACCCCCCCCCCCCCCCCACCAAACTCCTCTGGTATGCTGCTTGTGTAGCAAAAGGCAGGGATGTTAAAGGAGAGTTACTGAGTTTTACTTTGTTTTGTCCCTGGGCCTTAGATTGAAGGTGCACTTTTCAGTGCAAAGCCTAGAAGTTAAATTACCAGGCTCTGTGAGTAGAATTCATTCTTAATTTAACCATCTAAATTACCTGTACACTTAATGGAGAAGGGTGAATTTCCTTCACTGGATTCACAACTGCCAATTACCAAATTTTGGGAAATCAAAGCCAAACTGATGATGAAATGGAGAAGTAGTTCAAACTTTCTAATCTGTTTTAGGGCAGTAAATTGAGACTAGGTTGGAGAGGTCTTAATTGCATAAACCATCATTTTCTTTCAAACATGGATGGAGGTGGTGATAATAGTACCTGACTAGTACCTAGAAGCTAGGACTTTGTGTGTTTAAATGCTATCTAACTACTGCAGTATATTTGGTAGAATAATAGGTACTTAAGAAACAGGTTTTCCCTCACCCAGAGAAATTTTGAGAGATTCTGAATAGTATACTGACTTTAGATTCAGAACAATATAGGTTCGTTCTTGTAAATGTAGTAAAACTACTAAAGCCTCCTGTGATGCTTAACTATGATAGAATCATATGCATAATTATGTACTATTTGCAATTTCATAAATCTGAGGGACCACACCTGAGGACCATTTACCATTTTATACACCAATGATGTTTCAAAGTGCTTACAATCAAAGTATATGAAAAGTCTGAAGGTGGACGTATGGAGCATGCATTTAAGTACAGTTTAGCTTATGTGTATTGTTAGTCTCAGTGTTGTAAAGATATATTTATGGGCCTTGGGTTAAGGAGAAGATTCAGAAGACTTCTGAAGAAGAATGAGGTAGCACAGTAGTGAGGAGGGATAACAAAAGGGCCAAAAGGCCCTCTTACTTGAAAATACAGTGAGCAGGTAATGGAGGCTAGCATCACGGGCTGATATAGAGAATGAGTATTTTGATAACGTACAACATGTAAGTTTTGGAGATGACGCTTTGTGGCCTTTAAAAGTGTAGAAACAGACCTATATAACAAAGAGCCAGTGGAAGGATTAAAGAGGGGGCAAGCAGACAAAGCAATGCATTAGGAGATTGAGATTTCAGATTCAGAAGCAGTCTGAATGTATGTCTTAGTCAAAAGAAAAAAATATGTACTAGTAATTATGCTGCTGGTGGTGAAACCATGGATTACCTTTGAACCTTATTTGTGAGTCATGGCAGTTTTTCAGGGCTATTTGAACAAATATGGCAGTTTTCATTAAAACGAGTGGGAATGTGGTGTCTAATCACTGACACTTCAGAAAATTCCAAAATCTACTTTTGTGAACCTGGATTCATGTGACAGTGTCTGAGTGGTGGTGGGGAGGGGGCAGGGATCCTTGCATTATGTTAAACTTCCTGATGTCACCTGAAATCTCCATGCCAAAGTGTTTTAAGTAGATTGAAAATAAAGTCCAGATACTGTTCATATTAAAAAAAAATAAAGCACAGTACAAGTGCAGGCTCTGTTCAAAGACCAGGAGAGTTGGTGATGACAGCTGAAATTTGGCCTGCAGGATGATGTTCTCAGTCATCATGGAAGCAAGCAGTTAAAAAGGACTTGGAGGAACTAAGAGCCATGTTGAATTTGAGTCAATGGTAAGATATCTGTATGAAGGTGATAGAAAAGAGATTTTGGGGGAGGGGGGATGAAATACAAGTAGGAGGATGACTCTAAACGTTAGGAGATGCACAAAGATGTTTGAATTTGTAGGTAAGAGGGTTGTAGATGAGAAAGGTCACAGAAAAGATGCTCTGTGCTGTCTCTGCACAGAGATGGAGAAGCAGGTCATAGATGCCCCTGAAAAGCAGCTTATTAATGGAAGGGAAAGCCCAGGAAAATAAAGTAAGGTCTCCAAAGGAAAAATGAGGCTGGAGCAGCAGTAGTAGAGACAACCTGGAATATGTGGTGGAAACATGGAGAATGTAGCTGAAAACAGGTCATTGGATAGCTGGTGAGAGTGCTTTCTGATAGAGTGCGTGTTTGCACACCACTGACTATGTCTAGGGTCAAAATGGAAGAGAGGGAAGTCTAATTTAGTTCAAGGAACTTAAAAATCGAAGTAAAATGGGTTATATTCTTGCATGTTAGCTTTTTGGAGGGTGGAGCCTTAAACTTAACCCCCCCCCCCCAAAAAAAAAAAAAAAACCCTTAAGAAATATATAAATTACAAAATAATAAAGGGAGAGGAAGAGCTGGCAAGACAGATCAGAACTGAGGTTTAATGGAAGTATTAGCAAGGAAAGACTGTAGAAATAATTTGTGGATGGAGGGAGTCAACTGGCGTTGGTGCCTGCAGTTCTACCCCAGGAGCTCTGCTGGGTGGATGTGAGTATAAGATGACTTTGGGGAGTCGTTGCTTTCGTGAGAGCGGCTGTAGTGGCTCAGACCCAAGGACTATCCCATGTAGTATCCACTTCCTCCTGTTTCATGTCACCTGCTTCTTGTATCGGGAAAGACTGATGAATCATTTCTGATGTACCTTTTCCATTCGTGTTTCTGTAGAATTGTCATATTAGTATCAGTTGTCTTTTGTAGTCTGCAGAGCCTTGATCTTTTATTATTATTTATGTATAAGTAGTTCCATACTGTTGATTCTTTAACATTATTTCTGATGTTCTTCTCACTCTTTTATGTTTTTTTTTTTTTTTTTCAAATGAGGAAACAGAATTGCAGTAGTGGTCAAGACCCAGGTGTACCATAAACGTATGCAGTAGTGCAGTGATATTTTCTATCTTCTATTCTTACATTTTCTAAAATTTGATTTGAACATTTTTTAACTATTTTGACTGCTAGGCCGATCTTGACATTATAAACTTTTTATGGGTAGTTATAGCTAAAAACCTGTCACTTTGTACACCGTTGGGAGTGTTGTTTTGTTTGAACTCGTGTGTGCCCTCTTTGGTCACTGCTTTGAATTTTGTTTGCAGTTTTCCTTTCCTTGACGTTCAGGTTGGGATTTTCAGTTCCAGATTAAAGAGCTAGGCATCCAAAATCCCATTACAATTTATAGAGCGTTACTTGCTACTTTTGTCCTGTAATCTGTCTTGGTAGACCAGTTGAATGTGCTACCCAATGCATCTTGCGTTAAGAAGAGGCTGTAGCACGAGAACCTTATCCAATCTTGTTTATTTAGCAAAAAATGAAATGAATATTTTATGAATGTGTGTATATAAACATGTGCACTAGTGTATTTTTTAATATATAGGTGCATACATATGCATGCACATATATGTTATCTTGCAGCATTCTTTATGGGTAATTTGGTCTTGGACTCAGGCAGGCTTCCTGAATCCAGAGCGTTTCAAAAAGGTGTTTTGTTTTTTTTTTCTTTTACAAATTAATCTTCAAACTGTCTCTAACCTGCTTTTCTGTCTATTTTAAGTTTACTTTATTGGAATTTTTGATCTTTTGAGTCTAGAGATGGAGCTTTTTAAGTGATACCTCTTCCTTATTCTGCTGTTGAAGTCTTGCTGAGTTCCTTTTGCCCTATCTCAAGTCTTTTGACAATTGTTGTATGTTTTCTCTAACTTCCCATGTTTTTTTTAAAAGTTTCCTTGTGCTGCCTATGTACTTTTATTCTTTTAGCTGTCCCTTCTAAACCTTTACCACCCTTTTCTTTTTCAGTTAAGCAGTACTGTAACTGATCTGTTGGTTTTACCTCTGTATACAGTGGTGCCCATTCAAGTGGTTCTGCAGCATTGAGTCAATTTGTTCATTATTCATATCAGAATCAGGTTTCTTTAATTCCCTGGTAACTTCTTACTGAAATAGCAATTAATAATGTTTAAAAATTTAGTCTTAGTGTTGTACCCTGGCATTAACTCAGTCTGTGTGGTGGTAATTGAACTCTTCTATTACTGGGTTTTCAATGTTTGCACCTTTCTAGTCCCTTTCAGCCTGGGCCAGTAACCACTGAGCGGTGTAACGCAGAACTACGCTTCTCAGATAAAGTTTGCTACAGACACTCTTAGAGACTAGGTGAATAGTCTGCTAATACAGGAGAAATATAATTTTGCACCATCACCACCCCAATCCTATTAACTATTTTTTTTTTCAAAAGGCAAAAAGACCCCCTTCTCATCACGTGGATCTGGTATTGTAGTACCTCTCCAAGAATAAGTTTATGCCAGCTCTAAAAACTAGGGTTTTTTGTTTGATTGTTTTTTTTTCTTTTTCCTCCCCTCCTCAAGTGTTTTTTCATGGTTTTTCAGCATGTCCCATTTCGTGCTTCTTTCTCTGGCACGTTATCTGAAGAATGCCACGAAGAACGCTGTGGCTAGTGGTTCCTGAGTCTATCTGCTGTTTGCTTTCTTTCTTTTTTTTTTTTTTTTTTAAACTTGTGGTATTGACGGTTGTCTGTGCCAATAGGTTCGTATCCCTTTCTTTGGCTTCACTTGGAAAATGTCACATTTGCTATTTCTTTATATTACTTCAGCAGGCTGTGTCTGGGAAGTTCACTGCTCACCCCTGCCCCCACTACAATGAAGTCAAATAAGCAGCTGGTACCCTGTGCTGAGGAGGCATTCTACAGATTAGCCAAAACCAAGTAATAAGCACAGTTTTAATCGCTTACTGTCTAGGCTTGTTTATAATATTTTGCTCTGTGACTGTTTTTGATCAGTTATTAGAAATAATTAGATCTATCCTGATTTTATAGTGAGGATTTACATTTCTGAATTCTTCATCCCCGATGCAGTTTTTCAAATACTAATTAGCTGTCATATAATTGCTCTGGTAAGGTAACCGATGAGATACGGTATGATTTAGTTGAAATAAGATAGAAGATCTCAAGAGCAGATTTGGGTCTTATAATATTGGCCGAGTCAGGAATTTGTACTGATATCAGGACAAAATATTTCCACTGAATTACTACTATTGAGATTAATTAGAGCAATGGTTTGATAGGTGAGAAGGAAGTGTAGAATTTGTGTGTTCCTGTTCTACGTATCTGTTAGGGTAGACATTAAGGGTGTTACCTCATCTGCACAAGCAGAGATGCCTAGAAAGCAGCCATTTAAACTCAGTTACAGTCAGTAGGAAGAAATGGACTGAAAGATGTCTGTTAGTGATACTTTAAACATCCTATTTAAAAGAGGATAAGTGATCTGAATTTTGCACTGATTGTGCCTTTAGGGCTCTCCTTTGACCACTATGGAGATGGTGGGGGGACTAGCTCAGATGTAGACTCTAAAGATACACAAGGGGACTCCACCTCTAAATTGATCAAGTTTTTTGAAAATTGCCACAGTTTAGTTTTCAGATCTTATTCACATGTGAAGTGTCCAAAGTAAAAGAATGCAATTTAACCTTTATCACTCTTTCAGAACTTTAAAACAAATGCATGTATGCGTATCTATATAAACATATATAGTGCTGTTATTTCTTGCGCTCAAGTATACATAGAACATCAGATTATATCCTGTGATCACCCTGCACTTACTATATACATCTTTGAATATTTCCTGCAACAGTACAGTTGCACAGCTGGAAGTCTTCTCCCTTTAGAACCAGGAGGGAAGAAAAAAAAAAAAAGACCCACTTTTGGTCTCCTGTGTGCAGAGTGATCTTTGGATTGCATTCAGAAGCCTACGTGGGATCGGAAGGGAGATGCAGCTGATGCCCCTGTGCAGAATTTGAGTCCAATATAGCCTGACAGCTTCAAATTAAGCTAATGTTCTTTGACTGGGTTTTCACATACTATAAATCAAGCTGTAGTGAACTGACCAGAGTAAATTGGCTTGGGTGTTTCTATGTACGCGATCAGCAAAAAGGATGACTCAAGCTAATAAGTTCACTGCTAAAAGTCATATACACCTAGCTTGTACCTTTCGGTATTTATGGCATAATGTGTATAACTGGATTAAAGTGTACAGACAAATGCCAAACTATAAACCTGCCCTTTTTTATAATTTCTGTCTGATTGTAATGAAGCAACATTGTTGTGGTATGGGGGAGGGATCTGTTGAAAGGGAGACCAAGGGTGGGATATTTAAGTGTAATTGATGCATTTATTTACAGGGGCCGTGGAGGAGTCCCTCCGCCACCAGCAGGAGTACCAAGAGGGGCACCAGCACCAAGAGGAGTGCCTCCCAGTAGAGGACCAGTCAGTCGCAGCCGTGGACTTTTGGCACCCCGTACGAGAGGAGTGCCTCCACCTGCAGGCTATCGGCCCCTTCCACCACCTCCAGCGCAGGAGACTTACGGTGAATATGTAAGTCGAGCTGTTCTCGGAGCTATTGACATACCACACGTGTATTGATTTGGAAGGGATGATCTTAACTATCTCTTTAGACCTCAGTAGCATCTCTTTAATTAGTATGTAATTAAGTCTTGTACCGTGAATCGACAGAGAATGTGGTAATCTCTCACCACCTTTTCAGGCTTGATGAACTGTTTCAGATTACTGAAAACTAAGTTTAGATGTACGGTTAGATAAAGACATTTGTAGTGCACTTGGCAAAATAGTTATGTACCTCCTAAATGAATTATGCTAGGTTTTTGCTTTGCACAAATTTCAGTATTTTTCTAGTTCTTAACTAAAGCTGGGAGAGTGTTGTTCTGATCCTCTTTCTAGGGTCATATTTATGATCAAATAACTGTTTTCCAACTGTTTTTCATTTAGACAAAGTTTTTTTTTTTTTTTTAATCAAAACTTCAGAGTGTGATTCTAAAGTTTTAACAATTATATAGTAGCTTTCAATAAGCCTTACATATTCATCTTGATTTGTAATATAATAAAACTTGCAGAGCAGTGGGATGAAGAAAAAACTTACTAAATCAAAACTATTTTCACAAAAATGGATTTACTCTTAAAGAAAAATGACATATTCAAATGCTATGTTTTTGATGTTTTTTAAATCTTAAAGCTTTAATGCACTATCTTTACAGCCAAGGCTGTTGTCAAGACTTAGTCTTTGTTGTTCAAACTAGCAAAAAAAGAGTTCCTGTTCAAGAAAGTGGCTTTATTATTCAGACTTCTTTTACTTTTCTCTTAAAACCTTTCCTAACCTCCCTTCTTTCTTCCTCTGCCCCCATTCATCCTAAATCAAATCTCAACCATTGTCCTGTTGATCAGAAATCTAAATTTCTAGATAAGATTTATAAATTTCCAGAGAAATAAGTTTAATGTCATAAGCATGAACATTTTTATACCTGAATAATTCTGAAGAAGCTAATGAAGTTTATCAGTCTTATGCAAACTTCTACTTGAACAACATTTCTCAGTAGCCTCTGGCTATACCTGACTGACTGGTCAAAGTGCATACTGCAGATAGGTGGTTATTTTACAATGCTCTCAAAGCAATTGGCTTCCATTAAACTTCTTATGATGACCTGTTCCCAAGGCGTACACTGTAAGATTGATAGCAACATGTGGTAGAAAATAAACTTACTTAGTAATTTCAGATTAATGTATATCTGCTATCTATAACATGTATATATAGAAGTGTATGGTACGGTGTTAGTTGATTGAATCAATGTTATGTTACACTCAACTTCTGAGAGAGAACGATGAGAAAATGGAATAAAGAAAAATAGTGTTACGCTATACGACTTTTTGCTAACAACTAATTGATAAAGCTGTGCTAGTTGATCCATTTTTAAAACTACCGTATTTTCTGAGTCTCCTGTGTTAAAATGGAGCTTCATTACAATAAAATTTTGCTAGGACACGAAACATTAGTGTATGGTGTGTCAAATGTTAAATTGAATGCATGCTGTTTCTCCCGGTTGACCAATTGTAATACATTATCGCAGTGCCTTAACTGTACATTTTATAAGTTACGGTAAAGTCGTAAGAGTTACCAGTAATGTGTTTGTCCTTTCCTTACTAGTAGATTTAGCAGAATGTAAGTGTAAAATCCAGGTATGCAAACTTGAATATCTGAACAGGGTAAAGTGTCACAGTTTAAGAAATGTCTATAGAATTAGACCATTAGTGAGATAAGGAGGATCATAGTTATTTTAACAGCATCTCTGTGGCATATAATTTCAGAGTTGCAGATGGGCATATCCAGCAAGGTTGGAGAGCAACTACTAGAACTTTTCCATTGAGAATTAGAAAGTCTGCAAGAATTCATGAAGCTTTTCATTCCTTTAGGCTTACAACCCTCCGCTCTGTACTTACTAAAACATACAGAACTATGCAAGTTCGGAAGGAAGCAAACTAGATTCGGATGGAAGTCTTTGATCATTTGCTGCTGTAATTCTGTAAATCTTTGAAGAAGCAGAGATTTCAGTGCATAAAGTCCTTTCCCTTTTTCTCTGTGGCATACTATTAAGTATACCTTGTGACAGAAAATGAGGGCGTCACTGACTAACATAAAGAGCCTTACTTTTCTCTAACTCCTTTTAGTAACTTTAGTTCTGAGTATGTGTCAGACTAGTGAATCCTTAACATCTAAGAGTAAATTACCCTATCTTAATCTCTCTCCTCCCTGTTTGTTTGTTTGTTTTTTTTTTTTTAATAATTTAAGGAGTGGTCTTTAAAAGTTATCAAAATGGGAGTACCTACTGCAATCTGAAAAATTAGAAGGGTTAATTCTGGAGACGGTGTCTCATCCATGGAAAATCATACAACAGGTTAAGAACCATCTTAATTGGATTTTAAAAACTTTTAGACTTGGGCTCAAGATCAACAGAGATAAATATGATCTTTGCTGTCCCATCTTTGAAATCTGTAGGAGACTTGTCCAGAACTTACCTCTTACAGAAAGGTGTACACAGTGATGGACCATCTGCATCAGCCCTCAGCTTGCCCGGATACCTGTGACACTGAGCCCCATTGCTTGATGGCATGGCCTTTCCCTGCCAAAGTTACTCAGCATATTAGAGTGGCAGCAGTATCTGCATGTCTTTCCAGTTCAATATCGTGCCTTGTTTTCCCACCCTATTGCCAGTCTTGCTTATGTTTGTCTGTTAGCCCCAAGACCCGTTCTTCGTGGGACCTCATTATGCTGTTAGTCCGATGGTGACCTTTGTAAAGCCACCAAACCACAGTTGTTATCATTGTTTAGCAGCTGTAGATAATAGGAAAAAATCTTACCTCGATGGCCAGGCAGCTTTAGAACTACTGCTCTAACCTTGTTGCTCTGTTTTGTGTGATTAAAATTCCTGATTTTCATTTACATCTGCTGATTCTCCTTCTACTTATGTCCTCAAACCTCTCAGGTCAGGAGAAGGTTTAGTAGCACATACATAGCATGGCTAGAATTATTTCTATAATACCTGAATAAAGGAGAACATTAGGCACTCCCGAGATTTATTGAAGCCTTTGCAGGTAGTCTGAGAAACAATGTTTTCTTAATTAAAAGAGAATATTTTTTTCTGTTCACTGGGCCAAACTAAATATATAATAGATGAAATCAAAAGATTTATCCTGTATTGTTAAGTTGATAGAATTTATTAAAATAAAAGATTGAAATTTTTTATAACTGTTAGCAGGAAATTTTGAACTTTTTTATAATCTTCAAGAAGCAGGAAATAATTTACTAACAGTATGCTGTTACTGTTGTTCACTGTGTTCCGTAGTGTCTGTTACTTAACCAGTATTCAGTCAAACATGACGGTTCAAACTTGACAGTTCATTCTAAATTACTGTCTAGTGGAAGTTTTCTTCCTCTTGCTGTTGTCCTCTGCCCACCAACTTCAGACCTTTGAGGCTTTTTCCAGATTACCAGCACAATGTTTCTGAAGTTTTATTTTAAGATTAGATTTTTATTTGATGATATTTTCATTTCATAAAGGTAATAATTCTGTAAATATTTGAATTTTGTACTTTGAATATCTGTATGTGCAGTTGTCATATCAAGTCAATGGGTTAAATGGAATTTTAGATTTGTCTAAACTGATGGTCAGATTCTAGATGGGTATTAAGGACTGGTTTGTGAACATAGGTTTGGAAGCAATTGTTGTGGCATTGTGGGGAATGTCTGCACTGAAAAATAAAGGTTAGCAGACTAGTGGGCTATGGCCAAGACTTGCTTCAGCACTGCTTTGGAAAGCAATTAATTCCAAGCGTTCCTCTTAGTGTCTGGAAAAAATGGTGGCAGAGCTTTAGATTTGCTTCTGGCCATTTTATTGATGTTTTATTTTAGTTCAGACAAAGGGTTACCTTAACAGCAGATTTTCCTCATGCAATGACCACGTGTGTAATTTCTAACAGTTAGTACTTCAATTAGAATGCTATAATGAGATTGCTTTCTGTAATAAGAAATTTAATTAAGATGAAATGTCTACCAGTTAGTCCTAGGGATCCTTTCTAATGTTAAATTGTAACTTGAAAAAGAACATTATGTACTATTTCCTCTTACGGGCCAAGATTTTTTTCAAGTTAAAGATACAGACTTGGAGGGAGGGTGCACAGAATGCTTGGATGCATAACATATGCTCGTAACAACCTTCAAAATCTAGTCTTTAAAATCCACATTTAGTTACTGTCTGATTTTGCAAGGTCCTAAAATTTAGCAATTGCTAAGTTTTAAATATTTATAGTTCCTGAAACAAGTTTCTGGGTATTTCCAGAATTATATTGGTTTTAGTGGTGGACAATGTAGTGCTTCACAATTAAGCATCTCCTAGTTCTCATACGAAGTCTATCCCCTGATCTCATGGGAAAGGACCTGAAAGACGTTACCATAGTGTTCTGGCTAATGGTATCCCATCCAAACAAGCAACAGAAGGCGTGAGGCTATATGTCTTCGTTCTTAACTAAAGTTTAGCTCTTTGGAGAGTGTGTGCTGACCACCAGGCTACTGACTGTTCTCACATAGTAATTCAGTTGTGATCCTGAACATTCAGCCTGGATTCTGCAGCTGCCGCATATTGGGTAAAAGCGGAGACAATATCTCCTTTTCTCTCTTTATGAGAAAATGCCAGTCTCCGTGGGTGAGTTTAGTACTATGGATTCTGGGTGCAGGGGGATATGCTTCAGTACCTGAAGAGCTGCTGTTTAAAACACAAATGCACTTTTTCTTTCATTCCCTCAGTATTACTGCTATCGGCTTGTTGAATTAGGTGGAACCCCCACCCCCCAAATTAGGTATTTTAACGTTAGTTTGTAGGCATCTGCAATTTATATAGAGTCTCTTTAGTTGACTTGATGCTTTAAAGATTTTCTTTTAAGAAAATATTCTGACTTATCAGGATGCTTTCTGTATCTGCTCATTGAGATCAGACATAGAAAATAACTGAAAAAGCTGAAAGTTAGGATAA